TCTACCGCCCAAATCGGTAGGGTTGGCAGGTATGCCTTTATATGATCATTATAGTTATTAAAGAATAAGAGAATAAACGAAAAATGGGAAATACTATAGGACAGTAACACAAGAATACAGTTTAAAAGATTAGTAAAATATCCATAAAGAAAAAAGTAAATCTGGGTACAGTTCTGTGTCATATGGATGCTGAGAGATGTAGGCTATCCATAGATCTCTTCATTTAGCTCTCAAAGTGCACCAGATTGATGCATTTAACTTTTAAAAAAGAATCTTCCCGGGGGAGCATGCCCCCAGACCCTCCTAGAGGAGGTTAGGTCCACGCCCACCTAAAACATGTTCACATGGATAGGATACTAAATACATTTGCACACTTTTTTTATGGTGGCCTATGTCCTATGTTTCTGTTTTGGTGGTCGTGCCACAACCGTGCATGTATGCACAAGTCATAGGTGCGCTATACAATAGCACTACACCCCTGCAATGTGTGTGAAAGACAATATACTTTACAGCATGTTTTTTGAAGTTGGGTGTTTGTGTGTTGGTTGTTGACGGCAGTGTGTGCCCCCCCTTGGTAAATGATTTCCCCCCCATTCGATTTGTTCTAGAGCCGACCCTGCCGAGAACACAGCTGTTTTTCTCACTGAACAATATTATGCTTATAACATTACCCCGCCTTTTTTAATTAAAGTACCCATTTGAACCTTCTCAGAGACTCCATTAGTCTCCCTTTTTAAAGCTTCTCTCCTGGACGCGAGAATAACGAACAAAGCTAAAAATATCCAACAACAAGGAAAGTATGAGGCAATTTGTGGCAATCGGCAGAGCATTAGTGGAACCAGCATGTCATCCATCTAGCATTGACAGTTTTTTTTATAGCATTGTTTACTGAATTTAACAGCCAAAGTGTTTCATGTACTGGACAAGAGGAAGACCTTGCTGCTGTAATGAGAAGCCTTCCATGCAGTACATGTGTCAACAACCGAGGGCCAGATATACTGATGATATTGGTGCTGTTGTTTAGGCCAACATCTGATCCGAAGCACATGTACCTATCACCTTTATATGGTAAACAAAACACAGGAGCGAGTCCAGCTAGAGTTGATCGATTCAGCCTTGATACCAACCTTTGGATCTGCTACGCATTGCACTTCTTGACATGTAAGAGGAGAATTACTGATGGACTTGTCTTTGGTTTTGCATGTATTTGGTCAAAAAGCTATTAAACAAATAGGAAATGTACCTAGACATAAGGTCAGGGGACAGTAAAGGTTAATTCAAGTACAATTCATGATAATGGATAATGTACCAAAATTGCTTTTTTCTTTGAAAAGAGAATATAGGCCAGGCGATTACCAAAGTGAGTATGCTTCATCTTCCAGGAACTCACTGTCCGCACAAAATGTAATGACATCCTAGTTGTTGAGATGTTACAGTCAGGGCCAAAGTAGAGAACAAACTAACCGACTGACAGAGCTGCTAGTGTGACTGTAAAGTAATTACTACTGCTTTGTCAGTGGCATGACCTTCTACCAAATGTAATTGAAATCTGTTAAGTAGATATCCTGGTCACTAACAGACTAACGAGAGGCAGACATGAGACCCAAGCATAAGCTCCTCAGTGGTAAAAACGAATATTTATCTGAGGGAAATTCATTACTACTGTATGCTGCGATAATGAGTACATATCTCCATATTGCAAGGTAAAGTGAGCCTATTACCTGGAGGACAAATAATCAAATTACATATTTAACATGGCGTTGAGGGTACTTTACCCACTAATAACACCTAAATAATAATTACATCTAGATGTGGTTGTAAGCTCTATTACATTTGCTCAATTATATAATTTCTCTGATTGCCATGGCGCCTTTCGTAGTTTCAACAAAGCACAAGTCCCCAGTGGCTTTGTAATATTTTCTGTTTACCCGTACAGGGATTTTTAAAGCTGGACAATATTTATAGAGTTTATTGTTTTAAATATATTTGAAAATGCCTGAAAGAAAACAATTACTTTAGCAGCAGGCCCACGTGTCTTCTCCCTGGAGCTTTCAACCAATGAAAAATGTATTCGATTTCAGTCACAGTTTGAAGAAAAAAACCTCTGGATTGAGGGAGGGAGGAGATGAGAGAAAAAAAGAGTTTATTTTTATTTTTATTTCTTTCTTTTGGCTCCTGTTGATCTGATATTGATCGCTTGACATTGGTCAAATATCCCACTCTGCATTGCGGGGAAAATGCTGATTGAATTTAGAGGAGGAGGGTTTTGGGTGGGGGGTACTCTGACAGGATAGGGGACATGAGAGAGGCTGATTAGGAGTGTCACCCACCCTGGGATCTATCACGGATCTGAATGCCTTTTTCTGCGAGTGGGATGAAACAGATGCTTTGATTGTTAGCATTGGCTCACCGACACTGATTCTGCAGGCTGCTCTTTATCCATGCCAAGTCATGAGGCTGCTGTTTTCAGTTGTTTTGTATGTTGGCTCTTGTACAGTATAGTGAAGGGAATTGCTGTAAAAGCACATGTCCTTCTTTCCTCTTGTTCATCTCTAAATTGAACATCTCCGTGGCGACAAAGAGTGTACTTGGTGAGACGGATGTGCTCTTAGTTTTCGTTTGTTTTGGCTTTAAAATCCCGAAAGAAAAACCCTCTGTAGGAAGGACCGTAGAGAGTTTCATCAGCTAAAGGCTACACATCCAAAGCCATTACCGGCCTCGAAAGAAGTTTACGTTTTCAAAGTGAACAAGTTTACTAAGAAACCATTGTTGAATACATTCAGAGACTCATTCAATGGCTCATGAATATTATGAATACGCCGTCTGTGAGTACTTTGCAGCCATAAACCCCTTTGCCCTGAATGAAACTAAGGTGCAGAGTGTCAGGATCTCTTACTTCAGCGACACCTTGGGTTCACCAAAGGGAGAGTAGCCTTGTTTCGATGGACTGGGAATAATTGGCCTGTTTATACAATCAATGGTAGAGGGAAGGCAAGCTTCTCTGGGGAAATATGAACTCTACAACACCACCACCTGCTCCTGACTCTAAACCCAGCTGTGCATTTCACATGGAGCTATATGACTGGTTTTATATTGTGCCATTTGTTCTTTATGTTGCATCCCCCATGAATGTTATACCCTATTGGTTTTGTCAATATTTCATAACATTGATTCTACACATTCCTGTCAGTGCCAGCTACACAGGATGTTTGTGTTATACTTGTATGTGCTCTTGTGTATTTGATGTATTGTATGTGCTTATATTTTGACATTTAGTATCTAGATACAAGATGTATCTATTTCAGAGTCGCATTTTGTTGCAGAGAACATATGAGATCTGCATCAAAGGTCAAAATGTATGTGTGGATTTTTTTTCTCGTCTGCTGTCACGTTTAAGGAATTGTTCAACATTTTGGTTAATTTGCTAACTATCTTAAGCTAATGGGTACGGCAATACCACTTAAGATAAATACATTTAACTACAAACACCTCTATAATCTCATTCAATAACATGTCATATCATGTTGGTTCAACCCACACCAAAACATAAGTGTGAAAATGACAACTTGCGGGTACACAGTGGGTTATGTATTTTTATTTCGTTTTTTGGTGTTGATGCCGATACTAAATTAAGTTATTTCCAACTGGTTGACTATCATCTATTCAATTTAGCAAGCGTAGTGATCAATGTATTTGTTTACTCAATTCACAGTTTGTAGGTAATGTTAATATTTCTCTTCTCGATACGTCATTCAGGTCATGGGTAGGATTTTCTTAGAGCCAAAATAGAGACTGTTACTCTTTTACCAACCAAGTAGCATTGGATTATCAGGGCGCTTTTTAATGTTTTTGCTTAATTGTCAAGAGTCTGGTTGCAGCGGGCCAGCCGTCAAGATGACTCAGAGGTTTCAGTTTGAGGGTGTCAAAACGTACCGATAGTGAAGACAGTTTTAAACAGAATGATGATTAAAAATGTAAGAATGTAAACATAAAATCTTTGTTGAAAGGAGAGCAAGTTAACTCTTGCTGTTGGAGGCTTCTTTATTATGTTATGGTCAAACACTCTGTACCTCTTAAAGGTGGGGTATGTCATTTATTTCAGAAACACTTGTTGTTATATTCCATGGAATGCTCTTAACATCCCGATAGCAATGAATACATTAAATATGTTGACAATAAATACATAAAAAAAATGCATCTGTGGAAGCCGTGGCGCTGTAAAAAGCACGACCAATCATCTGAGCCGGCCCGGCTAAAGTAACTGGATGGCCTACCTGCCTGTCAGCCTTCCATCTGTGCACAAACTTATCTCGTGCCCTCATTGGTCATGTTAGCATTCGTGTGTGTTGGAGGAGGGGCTCTGTACGTTTTCAAATTCTAGCGCACTCGAGCTGGTTTCTCCAAAATTACATACCCCACCTTTAACAGTCGTAATTTGACTGTAACTAATGTGCAAATATGAACAAAATAAAGACGAATTTGATTTATACTTTTTCAAATGTCCTATTAATATTGCTATATATATGGTGAGAGCCCAATTTCAGTCATTCCTCTTCTTTGACGATGAAAGAAAGACCTTAATGTCCCTATTTCTTTGGATCATAAGTAACCTAGATGCAGTCCTGTGTCACTGTGGTCAGACATGGCACTAAGAATGCCCAAGGCCGAGCATTTATGTCCCATGGAGGGACAAACTGTTTGGATCAAAGTATCCCTGACCTGATAAGCAGTATGTTTTGTAGGTCATTCCCCTTCCTTCCAGTAAAAATATGCCACCTTCAAATGTGAAGTTGTCAAAATCCCCAAACCCTATGTGGGTGTTATTTTCAAAAATATTTGTAGAACCTGTCAAAGCAGGAAGCAAACTCTATTGAATAAAATCCCACAGGTTTCAGGGCCAACAGGACCTAATAAACATTGCAAAGGGTACGGAGCAAGATGTACAGTATTCACTGGACCGCACACAGCCTCCATTAGAGAAAGGTCACATGAGCTCTTACTTTTGTAGAAGCATTCCTCGCTGTGCATGATGGTAATCCTGTGTCCTTGGAGACAGGAGGCCCGGTGGAGCTCACAATGGTTCTGGTACAGCTTTCCATCTGAGCCGCACACGGGTTTATAGTGCGGTTTACAATGATCCAAGCACTTGCACTCCCCTTGGCCAGTCTCATGGTTAGCCAGGCAGTGACGCCCCAAGCCACAGTACTTGTGTTCACAAGGACTTGGATTGACATTGTGTCCCATAAAACCTGTGGAAAAACACACAGAAAGAAAGCACAAGTTACATTGTTGTGTGAACACAGACCATTAGTGAAAGATGTGTATCTACTAGAACAGATGGAGAGCACAACTTACTGAAAGTTACAATTCTGCTTTGCAAACAAGAATAAAACATTGCTTTATTTGCCTTTCTTTATTCCTAAGTGTGTATGCTGCGTGTATTTGTTTTCTTATGTTGTGATTTGAGTTGTTTTGATGGCACCTTTTGAAAGGGAGAAGCATTTATTTCTCTCATTCTACTTGCATAATGACGTTAAACGATTATATTAAATTCTTTCCCTGTCTTTTTCAAACAAATATAATCATCATCTAAACAAAAATGTAATACATTTGTGACAGATTTTACTTTTAGATTAATTCATTGAAAAAGTTGCAGTTTAATTTTTTTACTTATCAATGAAAATATTTTGTCGTGTACAGATTGAATATCACATAACAAGTCTACTCATATGTTCTGAAAATCTAAATGTTTAAAAAAGCAACATTTATGTTTCTATAGCATGCTAGAGGTGTTAAGAATGATACACATGTAAATATGAAACGGCAGCATTTCCATGAGAGCAGTGCCCTACAAAATGTAGACGAGGCTAGAGTATGTTTACAGAGGCCAGCGTGCCCCACAGTTACCTAGTCTCCACCTCTTACATTTCATCAATAATACCATCCACCTTGCTGTGAGTGTGACTTCAAGTGAATATCTCTCTACAGTGAATGACTAAAAGGGGAGAGAATGATTTGGGTTTTGCAGTAAGGAATACTTTCTCATACAAAGTGACCCTGAAATGACGAAGGCTAAAACATTATCGAGTATTCGATTGATCCAAGGGCTGAGCGTTGACATGAAAATAAATGCTAAATAAAAAATGGGTAGAGTGTTCTTGAGCAAGACCCTTATTCCCAGCCTGCTGCTGGGGTGAAGTCCTACGAGTAGACCCTGAACCCTGACAACTTTGATGAGAGACGGCGAGAAAAGGAGAATTTCCCTTTGGGGGTTAGTGGAGAAGCAAGTAAAAAAAAAAAAGGGATAAATAACAGAGCAGCTTGAATGGTGCTTTAGACCAGGGGGGTCGAAACTGTCACTAGAGGTGAGGTATATGGCCTTAAGTTATACGTTAGCTAAATCAATCAAATGTAGGTCAATTATACTTGAAAAAAAAGCCTACATCACAGCTGAGCTCTCCCAAGGGTTGAATGTATTCTGTTGGCATTATCTTGTTATAATAAGAGGAAATATGAAGGGTAGATTTCAAGCGAGTTATGTGGATACGTTATTGGTTTTTTTTCTTATCAACTTAGATTTGTTAGAAAATATGTGTCATATATTTGTACATATATATTTAAGAAGTACAATATAAGACAAGCACAAGTTTCATATACAGTACGGGCCATATTTCATTATACTTTTTTTATTAGCCGAGGGCCGATTCGAACTGGCCCACGGGCCGCATTTGGCCCCCGGGCCGTAGTTTGGACACCCCTGCTTTAGACAGAACCTGTACACAGCATTATAAAGAAATGTGGATGTGCTGCATGATTGTGAGGATGACTTCATTCATAAATGGTTTTATGAGATCGAGATTTTCTCTGAGGGAAGGATTATGTTGTGGTCAGTATGAATATGTGAATACGTCTTGACAGGCCACAGATCAGTCTGTACTGTAACTCGTGAACCACATCAAATATATTGGCTTCCTAAAAGCAGCGTGCTCACTTGTAGATTGCCGTTTGGAATAGTCCTCAAGAGAAGGGTATGAGGAGGGAAAAACCACAACTCAACCACTAACAGTGTGGAAACCTCTCAAGGCTGCGCTGCAACATATAGTTATGGATATAAGGGACGACTGAAAATACATAATATATTAAGAAATATTATTATGGGTTTGTCATTTGCTCATTCTATTTGTGTATAGGTCACTATTTCTACGTTTTTCAGTTTTTCATTGCCTACAATTAAAGAAAAAGTGTTTAAACATACATCCTCACACACAGACCACTCCTCACTTCAACAGTGCTTCTGAATGAAAGCTCTGACAAGTGCAAATGTATATCAGGGAGTCAAAGGTTGTGAAATAGTTCAGAGACAACCTGTGCAACCAGTGCCATAGACGTATAGAGGGATAGCTCAAAACAATTGTATTTGCAAAATATTATTATAAAAATTTGAGATGTCCCGATCCGATCACGTAATCGGGGATCGGAGCCGATCACGTGATTTTCAAAAGATCGGAATCGGGAGGAAAAAATCGGGGATCGGGATTTTTTATTTTTTATTTTTTTTTTTTAAATACTTTTTTTTCAATGTTGTATTCAATGTTAGAAAACAAAAATGACCATTTTCAAGTCTGAAAGTCATCCTGAGGCCTTAGTTTTGGTTTCAAATTACACAACATCATGTATGTGTTGCTTCTTTGGGGCTTGTTTTCATAGACCTGGTTGCTTATTTCTCTCAAATCTGGCAACAGAGTGGGCAGGGCGCAGTGTCTNCTGTCACTTGTAGGTAACATTGAGACACTTAAGCTCATCATACTGCTGTTTTAAGACGGGAAAGTACTCAGATCTTTTATTTAAGTGAAAGTAGAAATACCAGAGTATGAATACTCTGTTACAAGTAAAAGTCCTGCAATTAAAATGTTACTCAAGTTAAAGTACAAAAGCATAGGCATCAATACTTAAAGTATCGAAAGTCAAAATTCATTATGCAG